ACAATTTATTACAACTGAGACTTCTTATTTTGATCTTTTGCTTTTTTAACAGTAACTAAATTGAAGTAAAGATTATAAATTTGATGGACAACAATTAGTTGAAATTCTTTACAATTTTTTTTATCTTTAAACAAACAGAGTTGTGTTCAATCAAAGACATATTGGTTTGATGAACACTAAATATGGAAGAATATAAAAATTTTTCTTTCATGCTTCTGTTTTTTTTTTCAAATTTAGTGTTTTGATATTAATTCTAGATTTGATCATTTTATTAGAGGATAGAAGCCTTTTTTGTTTTTTTCTTTTATTTAAATATATAATATTTTTTTAATAAATGACCCTTAGGCAATATGACTCTAAATATGATTATATTATATATTTGTATAATATATAATATGATCTCAAACTAAATAATTATGTTTTTTGGTATAAAATTGAATAAACTGAAAACCGATAGTATATAAACCAAATCAAACTGTAGTACATATAGATTTAGAATAGTAGTTATATTTTAATGATCGAAATACCAAAAAATCGGACAAAAATTGAGCCGAACCGAAACCCGATATCCGGATTGAGCACCTATAATCCGAATGAAACCGAACTATTGTTTCATTTTTCAAAACATAATAAAAATAATAGCTTCATCCCGCGCAAGGCGCGGGTCTTATCCTAGTGGTTATTTAAAATAAAAAATACAATAACATGTTTTAAAGTACATGATTTAAATAAATGATTAATAATAGACAATTTTGTTTTGTTAAAAATATTAAATACATTTGGGCCTGAAAATAATAATTGATTTTTTTGATCCATTAAGATAGAAATTTTATTCAATATTTTTTGGAGTTTTTCCTTAATAGTAAGCCTAAAAATCAAACCATATAATTTGTCCTAAAAACAAAAGTAATACCAAGACTATATCCTATAAATAATCATCGGTTTAATTTAAATAATGCGGTTGTAAATATAAATAATAATATAAAGAAATAAAGATATTATTTTGGAAACATAGATAATAATATATCGGTCACATAAATCTTGTCATCGATCATGTCGGCAAATACATATAAATAACCATAGACCTAGGAATATCGGAAACTGGATGCATGTGGGATGCAAAATCAATGCTTAACACATTCATTGTTGCAGTATCAGCTCACTGGGACAAACTATCCTTCGAAAGGCAATTGAGTAAGCAAAGGGGGTAAGGACCAATCAGCTGCTTTTGGTCCGTGTAGCCCCCATCCGTCTTTTTGTAATATTATAGCGACAAGTATCAGGTTTTAAAAAAGGAGAATCTTGAAAATGTAACTACAATCCTCAGCAATTGTAACTTCAAACACTGAAATAGCTAAAATTCTTGCATCTAATCCCAAAGAGAGTTACAACCAGCAGCTCTAAAAGGAAAAAAAGGTGGGTTTTTCTTATGCGGCAACAAGATCTGGTGTCTCAGCTTCAACAGATAGCAACGTGGTGTGAACTTTGTCGACCCAACTGTCCAATTGATCCCTCAAAGACTTGATCTGTGGAATCCCCAACACTCTCGGTTGCGCCCATGAGATGTAAGCTGTTCCATTCACTTGATCTATAATCCCCTCAATCAGATGCACCTGCATCATTCACTCTCACTTTTTAGATTCTACAGACTCATCATAAGCATACACAAACACCATCCTTCTATTTTGACATGTCAGAAATATTCCCAGCCCTCTGATAAAACATTAGAAATACGATATAGTGATGGTTGTCTATGTTGTTCCTAGCCTAGGGATGATCACTATGTTAGTCATTACCCATTAGACTAATGTCTCTCGTTTGCCATGATAAGATGCAAATGGTAGCTGCAAGAAACTACTTACAGAAAGACTCTTCATGAGAAGGTGCTCAACATCTTCAATGGAAAGTTTAGTACGCTCAGCAATGACAGTCAACGGAATGGTCCTATCCTCAGCAGGTCGGCTGCAATAGATTTAAGAGTAACTGTCTTATAGCACATGAATTTCTATTCATATCAAATTTTGAGAGATACTATGGAATGGCCTAAAGAGAAAGTTACCAGAAGATGATCTCGATCAGGCAGAGAATGTTGATCTTCTCCAAAAGTTTCTTCTCATTCTCAACCAGTGCTGGCTGGGCAATCAGGGATGCATGGTGCACACGGCACAGTTCTTGATACTGAACTAAATCCCCATGGTTGAATGCCTGTAGAATGTGGTAAAGCCATTCCACATTTGTTCCAAGGAGACTTTTCAACTGTCATAAAAAGAAATACTGCATGTAAGAAAGATACTCGACATAAGTGTTAGAAGCTGTTCTCCATGTTCTCCGAGCAACAACAAGAAACCTCTAATCTACAAGGAAAAGTCTGTAGTAGCTTATACAAAGGAGAACTTACAATGGGATGGGCCAAGAGTTCCCCAAAGTTGTAGATGTTTTCTCCAAGTAGAGCTGAAAGTGACAAATCAAAAGCCAAATCCTGAAACACACATAAATTATACGAATTTAGCAATTTGACTGGTGAATATATAAGCAAAACATTAGAACAAGAACACACCAGCTTAAACGATTCAGAGAGTGACTCCACAGAGGTATACGCAAGATAAAGCAGAGCACTTTTGTAGAAATCAGAAAACTCCTGACGAAACTTATGATACTGAGAAGACACCCAGTAGAAGTTAGCATACACCGAAGGATCAATGTCAGTCATCCCATCAAGAGAACTCTTAGCATCGTCCAAGATCTTCTTGCACTCCTTCTGCTCACCTTTCTCAAGCTTGAACAACGCCTTTTGCGTCTCAATGTAAACGATCGGTTCAGTGATGCGAGCCTCCTTAGTAGCTTTAAGCTTCTCAATCACTCCTTCAAGATAGCTAACCGCAGCTTCTTTCTCAGAGTACTGTCGTGAGACAACAACAGCGAAATGCGCAAGCTTGAGGAGATTGATCTTCGTCTCGAAGTCGGTTATGAAGTTGTGGTAGAACTGTATCAACGCATCTCCAGCCTGGAAATTATATTAATTAATAACATTAATACTCAAGAAAAATCGAAAAACCCTAAATCGGATAAACCCTAGCATCGATTAAACGGATCTATGAATCTATGAACCCTAATAAGAAGAAAAGTACCTGAAAGACGGAGAGAGCGATGAACTGGTCGAGCTTAAGGGTGAGCTGATGCCAAAGCTTCTTCTGGTAGAGATCTGCGAGGGAATCGTACCATTCGTTGAGCTCTGGGTGAGAGCTTTTCAGAGATTCCAAGTATTGAAGAGCAGCCATGGCGGAGAATGTTTTCGATCAAGGAAGGAAGCTAACGAGTCGTGGATTCAATCTTATATCAGAGCTGTGCGTAAATAAAGAAGAAAAGGGTTTTGTGAAAGAGAGAAAAAAATCTTCAATTGGTTTTTGGTTGCAATTTTTACTCTTTGTTTATGCAACTTAAACCAATAAACCCCGGTTTTATCATAATTTTTTGGGTAAAGCTTCTGAAACAAAAACAACATTTGTAACCAAAGTAGCTCACAGAAAAAAATAACAAATAACCAAAATATATTTTATTAAATAGCAAATGAGCAAGTTTTCTTTAATAAATAATATATTTCATATCAATAAACATTTTATAAAAATAATTTAAAATACTACTCTAGTGGTACTGTATATATATATATATATATATAAATATGTATAGTTTTAAGAAATTAAAAATTACTAAATTATCTAAAATCCGTTGAATAAAAAGTAAATATAAAATTTAGGAAAATATTTTTCTATTTCATCAGATAATATAGTCCAATAACTTCATTTTCCATTTAAATTATTTTTAAAATTACAAATTATAGTTTTTTTTGTTAGACTACAAATTTATTACTTACTTATGCAGAAATCCAAAAGAAAATTATAGGGTGATGTATCTACAAGTATAAAATTAGGGTTTATTTGTGAAATATCTATAATAAAGAAAAATTAGATTTTGGGATAGAGAGAATAAAAAGAGATAGAAAGAGGATGGAAGAGAGAGAAGGAAAATTAGTTAGCTTGATTTTTTTTTTGTGTAGTGCAATTTTCCTAAAATTAAAAGGACTTAATGTAAAAACAACAAAAAAAAAAAAAAGAGTAAAAGGGTCCGTCTGTGATCTAATATTAAATTCGGGTCACGATTATTGCTGTATTGGGTTTCAGGTGTTCGGGTCGGGTCATCAGAATTGCTACTACCGCCCATACCCCCCACTAGTGGCGTTTTAATCTCTCTCTCTCTCGCTCGCTTTCTCACAATCTTTCAGGGAAAGAGAGAGAGAGAGAGAGAGAGGGATGGATGAAGACGACGAGTTTAGTTGTTGGAATGATAAGGATTTTCTCGCCGATGCCTTCAAAGTCGAAGCGAATCTTGGCTCTACTCCTCCTCCCCCACCGATTGTTCCGCCTCCGGCGTCGGAGAATGTGGAGTTACATTCCACGGGACAACAACAACGGCATAAAATTCCAATTCGTGATCCTTTCGCAAGCTTCTCTCCACCGAGAGAACTCTCTCAGAGAGTAAGCGGTTTCAATGACGATTACTCGGTGGCTGCTGTTAGACCAATCTCTCCTAGTTCTTCTTCGACTTTTCGTTACGATAGTAGCGAGAAAGATCTCGAGATCGAGCGGTTAAAGGTTCGCGTAGATATTGCTACTACTTGTTTGTTTGTTTGTTTAAAAGATCTGACATGATTGTTGTTGGTGGTTTATGAATAACAGAAGGAGCTGGGACGTGTCTCGAAGCAGTTGCTTGATATGGTTTTTTTTTTTTGTTTTTTTTTTTTGAGTTGTTTGATCTTTGTAATGTTGAGAAGATGATTGATGGTTGACTACATTGTTCCAGGAACAAGAATGTTCTCAGCTTAAGAAGGGGAAAGCTAAAGAGACAGAGCTCAAAAACTTGAATAGTGAGAGTAAAGCGAGAGGTGTTACAGTTCATGCTTCTAAGAGAACAAACTTGTGAGTGGATCTTCTTGCCTAGTGAGATGAATCATAATTAGTTTTGCCTTTGTGTATCTAGTCTTGTAGAATATATAGCATGTCAGGGTTCAATCTTTTTTTTTTTTTTTTTTGTGCATTTCTCATCATTTTGACAATGGTTAAGTAGTGAACTGCAATGCTGGAAGCTAAATTTTAGGGTGCATGATCAGAGCTAACCATTCGTTAGCTTCGTACTTTAAATTCTTACTTACAAATCATCAATGATGGTCTACTGAGGAAGTCTTGTGAAACAGGGAACCAGATGCTGCAACTTCAGTGAATGATGGGGGAACCGATTCTACAACTGGGTTAGATGATAAAAGAAGTATGTGCTTGCAGTAACAAGTTTGTAGATTTTGAAGTTCTCTTCTTGTGCTGGTTAAATCTTTTTGTTGTTTTTTTCTAATTTTGTACTCGGAATTTCTGCTTTGGCATAAGTCAGGTTTCAAGGCCACTGGTGTTCAAGCGGATCTAGCAAACCATTCTGAACTTTCAAAGAAGCTGCTAGATATCTGGCGCACCGCAAATTATCAAGACCCAAGGAGAAATCTCATCTCAGAGCTGCTATTGGCTTGTTCAACAGATCTCCAGATTCTCTTTGGTTTTATGAACACTAGTACGCCTCCCCCTGAAAAAGACAGACAGGCAGCCAGAACCTCGCCCAATGTGCAATCATCTAAAGCGTTAGAGTCTGAAAAAGTGTGTCAATTATATTCTGCAGTAACAAAGGTATGACTTTTAGTTCAAACATTTTACTTGTCAGTATAAAGTTAGTGGTCATCCCACGTAATCGATCCGCCTTTCTCTGCTGCAGATCAGCTATGGGTTTGTAAATTTGAAGACGTTGGTTGAACCACTCCTAGATCTTTGTAATGCGGAAAATGTAAGCCGGATTTTGATTCAGGGCTTTATCTGCTATATGAATCTCTTTTGTACTCTCCATTATTAGTGAGTATATTTATTCGTCTGTTCTGCAGGCCATTCTTGTTCATAGATCTCTGCATGTACTACATGTGCTGTTGGAACATGTATGTGGTACTGAAAAGAGATTTGAAGACAGGTATCTACTCTCTCTATTTGCGGTTAGTTTTCTATTGTTCTCCAATGTGTCCTTGCTTTAAATTCTTACGTTTAACACAAAGCACTATTTATAATAATTTTTTTTTTTGTTTCTTTCCGTGATACTCTTATTATATGAAGTTACTATTAAGTTCCAAAAAAGGTTTTTGAGTTCTCCTTCTACAAAATGCAGTCTCTATATCATTCTTATGAACTTTGATTTGAACTTTCCAGTGCACTCTATCAGGGACAATGTCACAGATGAGGAGCCAAGCTCTTGTGAGCTCGCCGAATGTCATGAATACAAAGGAAGGAAGACTAACTTGAGCATTGGAGAATCGGAAGGAAGGAAGCGTAACTTGAGCATTGGAGAGTCAGTTTCCTCAGATAGAAGCAAAAAAAGTCAAGGAGATACTGATAAAGCTCAGCCAAGTTGGGATGCAAACTGGCATTCTCTGTTTGAATTGATGAACCAAATCGCTCGTAGAAGAACCGAAGAGAATGTGAAACTGGAAGCAGTGTCAATAATGAACATAATCGTGATGAGAACTAATGCTTATACCGAGAGAGAAACGTAAGCACTCGAACCGTCTTTCTTTTATTCTGGTCTCTGCTAACATCTGTATTCATATAACGATATTTCCATTTCGTTTACCAGTTTTGTATCGAAGGAAGTGTTTGAGAGCATTTCGTTACTTTTAAGAAAAGAAGCTGGAGTACGTGTGCGTAAAGGAGCTATTCATCTTTTCTTCCTGCTGCTCAACTGTAAGTTTGAAACTTATTTATCTGCATAAAAGTTGCTCTGCCTTTCATTTTCTGATCTATTTTATCTATTCTAAACGCATTACATTTCTTTATTAAAGGTCCTAAAGTGTTAGCTAGATTTGAATCTCTCCATGAGGAAAATAAATCTTTAGCTTCTCGGAACAACAGCCAAGGAAATCTGTTTGCGTTGGAAGCGTTACGTAAGATCTTTGAAGGTCTAGCAGATTGTCTAACTTCTCCCAGAAAGACATCAGAGGTACAAAGAGAAAAAAAAAAAAACTCCTCTTGTCAAGTAGGTTACTGCAATTGGATTGTTAACACACTTTTCGGGTTGATTTTGAATTTCAGGATCTGGAACTCTGTCGGAATGTAATAATGATCTTGGCCTTAGCAGCTTCGTCTGGAAACTCCGGCTATGAACTACTCACAAGTCACAACTTACCTCAAGACACCAGCTTTTTAATGCTGATACTGCATCTCTTAGCAGCGGAGATAGATTCCGAATCAACGGAGCTTCATCCAAATGCAGAAATATTCAAAGCGAGGTATGTATGTATGTATACATATTCCCAGTCACACTGTGATTTTACAAGTAAATAAATATGATCTGCTTTTTTTGAACAGGACACTTTTGATGAGAGAGATACTGATATTACTAAACAGACTTGTCTCTGGTTCTTCAAGCTCCTGTACAGTTCTTAGGGAACTAACAAAGAGCCGAGACATGGCGAGTCTAACGGTTGACGCAGCTACAAGATTGTCCCGTAAAAGAAACTTACTTGGACAGGCTGAAAGCAGTGTTGAGAGGATGAGGGGTTCGGAGATAACGGATTTAGCACGCATTTTCAAGAGACGAGTTTTCGCATTCTTAGGTGACAACAGTACGTAGCTGATAAGCTCTCTTCTCATCATCGGGAGTTTTTTTTGATGAGGATGATGTATATGTGCAAAGTTTTGATTGAGGAAGCATTCTATAAATAAGGGAACCTTTCGGCTATTACAACTGTTGTATTTTTTTTTTGGTCTTGAACACTTGTAACAAGTTAACAAAGGAACAACCACACTCTGAAATCGACTACTTTAAAAGTATAAACATCTTACAAAAGATGATGCTTGGAAATGAATATAGTCAGTCATCTCTGATTCTATCTAATCAATAAAACTTGACAAAGGTTTCGTCAGAACAGAGGTTTACGAAACTTGATTCTGTTCTAAGAGTCTTTGTTTGATTCTGAAGAAACTTGACAAAAGTATGTATTTGTTATAAAGTATTGTGTGGATGTGCCATAACCATTAATTAGATTTAGAAGTGGCCCAATGGCCTGAGACCCATTAGTCATAGGCGGCCATATAGTATTGCCATTATTATGTATTTCCAATTCCTTGTTGCTTTAGGAATTGGATGTTTTCCATTTATTTTCTTCTTGTAATCCTTATATAAAGGAACCTTATTCATTCAGTAATAATACATAAAAATCATTCCCCTCATCTCTCTTTCTTTACAACACGTTATCAGCACGAGTCTCACCAGAGCTAAGAAGCCAACCACCAAAATCGTACCTCCTCTCTCTCTCTAGGCGGCAGCACCAAAATCCTAATCCTGACCGCACCTTCAAAGCGACGTATCTCTCAAACCGTGTGTACCCAGATGACAAGTCACATATCAAACTCAAGCTCTCGACGAGAATAAGCTACTAGTTCAAAGAGCGTCTCAATCCGATACCAGACGCGTCCTCTAGCTCAGAAACAAGACGGCGGATAAATTTCCTTTTCTCCTACCCGAGAAACCCTAATACCGGCTCAACTTCAAATCGATGTATCTCTCAAACCACGCGGTCCCAGACGACGATCTACATATGCAATTGAAGCTCTTGAAGAGAAGAATCCACCAATTCAAACAGCGTGTCAATCCGACATTGGACGCGCCCTCAATCACCAAAACAATCCGGCAGGCCAAATTTCCTTTTTCCCATCCGGAAAGCCCTAGCGATTTTCCTTTTATCCGATCAGCCAAAACAGCCCCCTTACACTTTCATTTTACTTGATTTTTACTTTCCTTTTGGATAATAAAACCCTAACTAACTTTCCTTTTTGTATGTGAAAGCCCTAACAGGTCTAAAGCTGGAGAAACCCTAGCCGTCTCACCCGCGGCTGCTCCTCTCTCTCTAAAGGTGGTCCGGTTATTAATCTTCAAACAATGGTATATCTATAAAACTTAATTGATAGAAATCAATAGGTATGGAATTAATAAATCTGTGATAGGATATCGGTTAGATTGATTGATTGTTTGAGAACATAGAACCGGATGATAGGATTTAAAATTTGGTTGTATGAAGAACCCTAAACCCTAAAATCGGATTTTAAATTGTTCTTGCTTGTTTAAATTGTTTGTTTGAGGTTTATGATTGTTAGATTGATTGTTTAATTTGAGAATCTAAAACCTAAAGGCCTTGAAACCTTTTTAAGATCATAAGGCCTTGAAACCTTAAACCCTAATTTGTTTGATTTTAAATTTGACCTAAGGGCCTTGAAACCCTAACTACCACAATTAATAAAATCAGGGGGAGAATTGATGAAAAGTTTTTAATTTGATTTTAAGAATTGATAAGGTTGGATAAGTTTTATTATTGATGTTTAGATCCGACCATAAGGGCCTTGAAACCCTAGTTCGTTTTGTGATTTAAAAACTGATCAGAATTGAATTAAGATTGTTGAATAGAATTGCATTGCATGGTCGAATGAATTTTACTGCATTTATCTTGTTTAATAAAATCGACCAGCATATAGTTTTAATTATGTCATTCTCACCCATTCCGACCAAAATTGAGCCATATGAGTTTTGAGTGACTATAGAGAGTGTGTCTTTTGTTTGTCCACACCATGGCCATTGTAGTTACAAGTATGGTTTGGTTTGTGGTTGTAATGTAGTCAAGAGAATCACAATATGTGTAAAACCCTAATTGTGTGGTTATGTGATTCAAGATGTTGAAACTTGCAAACCTTGACTATACCTGCTCTCAGTCTCTTGAGATAATTACCTGCAGTGAGCTCTTGATTTTAAGATCAATTTGAGGTCTAAGGGGTTTTGGTGATATGATTACCAAAGGCAACAATGAGACTGAAAAGAATCAGTATGGTAGATCCATTAGAGCTTTGGACCGCTTTACAGCGATTTTATAACCACCATAAAACGGTGTTGCTTCCAAAGGCTCGTAATGAATGGAAGAACCTGAGATTCATGGATTTCAAGTCTATGGACGAGTTCCCCTTATATATATTGACCTGATCTCGGTCCTACTCTTGGACGAGACAAATAATGAGTTCCTTATGAGGAACAATGCGTTGAGACCTGCAGGGTCAGCAACAAGTACCGGAATCAAATAAGGTTGAACATGATGTTTCCAGAGAAAATAATTCCGCCCATAATGATAGGAGACCACACGGCAAGGGCTGTGGTGGAGACCATGGGTGTAATGGTCGTGACAATAACTCATACGACCGTAGGTCTGGAAACCACAATAACCGTGGTCGAGGTTCCAGCTACGGCCGTGGGAGAGGCCAAGGCACTGGCCGTGGCCGAGGCGGCACGAACAAGCCGTCTTACTCGACCATTAGAGGACCAAATCAGTTTCTACATGGTAATCTCGTCCATACCAACCAGGTAACAACCGTGGTAAGGGTCAAGGACGAGATCATGGCACAAGCGAGGACGAGGCTGCATGAACTCACCCGGTTTTGGCCGTGGTCGAGTACATGGCCGATGTGTGCCGTTTAAACCAAACATGATTTGTGTCATAAATGTAGTAAGTGTAATCACTGATGTGGGAGTCCTAGCCAGTGGCAGCCCCACATGATCTATGATTCCGATTATAAGGCTGATTATGATGAGCATGGAAGAACTAATATGGATTATGAGATTTCTGATTGTCTTAAGGACGAATCATGACACATGACATTTAGGTTTATTTTAATTTGATTCTTGTTTGCATGAATGTTTGATATGGATTTTGGTGTATAGTATGATGAAAGATGAGATGAGTACCCTTGTACACTTGTGGTGTATAGTGGATTAAGCCATACTATAGTTAAAGACAAACGTTATGCCAACTATTGCAGGCGTGGCCAGCCTTATTGAGGGCCACGGCCATATTTTTATTATGATGCCTAAAGGCACTCATCTTGAGATTAAATATGCCTTAGCTCTAAACGAGCCTGTTGAGTTTCAAGGACATAAGGTTGATGGTTTACACCTTGAAACATGGGAAGAAGGAATGAAAGATTTCCTTAACATATTTTGGATCACCAATGGCATTAAGAGAGTCTTAGAGACTATACCTGCAATAGCTACTGATCTAGACTATACCAGAGATCAGTATGATAAGAGGCAAGAGATGTGGTAACCAGAGAGGTATACCCACGAAATTTCACTTTATGGCATTATTGGACTAGCCATCCAGTTTTTGGAAACTTGATGCAAAGTTTGATATCGAAAAGAGCACATAAGAGTTGTCCCATAGTATCTCACGTTTGTGTTACATGTACACAAGGGAAACTCAGTTAGGCTACAAAGTCTCAAGCATCACGTGATCATAGTATGTCCATGAGGGGGAGTGAGGACAAAACCTTGATCCATGAACATACTACAATCCGTGTGACATGGTCGATGACCATAGTAGTAGTCATGGTCTTGATCCATGAACATACTACAAAGGCTACGACCTAATGCTTGGAGACACAATGAGTTACATGTATAAGTTGAAAATGCATCAGGCCATACAAGTGAGAATAAATATTCCCATCTCAGAGTAATACGGGTCATGACCAGACATACACAATCTTAAGAGATTTGATAAAACCACCACATAACATATGTGCTTCTAAGATAGATACTGAGATAAGGATTGGGAATATATGTTGGATAGGAGTATGAATTTCTCCTACATGTTCTTAAGAAACGTTGAGCCAAATATGGGTGATTAGATTGTGGCCAGGTTCACGGATTGCATGACTATGAATCCGACTATCCAACATCAAAAGGAGAAAGATATAAGCTGGATAAAGAAACGTATGACAAGAGAAATAGAATGGTATTGACCATCAGTGTCTTGGCAAGATCCTCGGACTAGAGTATATGATTTAAGACGTCCAAAGAAAGAAAGAAAGATTATGCAAAGATAGCTAATCAGATGCCAAACACATTGACCCGAAAAGAGAAGAAAAGAATGTGTAAAGTCATACCAGCTTAGCACCACGAAATTGATGTCCTAAAGAGACACTATCAAGTTGCTAGAGAGTGTATTAGAGATACACCAATATGTTCCATAAGAAAAGGAACCTCGGGAAAGAGAAAGGTGCATAGAATATGAAAACCGAGGTCATAATGGAAACCATCCCAGACATAGAAAATGGTCGACCAAATATAAGATACCATACAATGGGATTTGGGACGCCAAACCCCATGGTATTGAAGGTGATTTGGGACGCCAAAACACCAGGTATTAAAGGTCATTAGATTGCAATCAATTATGTGATGTCTGGAGTGCAATGGAATGCAATGGAACACATAAAGGGTATTGATACCAATGATGTATTTACATATGAGAATGCGCAAGATAAGTAGCACTTGAGTATGAGATATAAAGCGAGGATCATGAACCCACGTAAGAGTACTCATTCATAAAAAGGTTGATAAAGAACCGTGGGGTTAGAGTATGTAAAGAGTGATGGGCGTATTGGCCATATAGAACGCCATCAGATAAACCTGTGATGAATAAGATCTTGTGAGAAAACCGTGAGATAAAAGAACATGACCACGTGGTCTAGAAGTGTTCATGTGCCTTCTTATAATACTCAAGCATGGCTTGATGACACAAGGATACTCACAAGAGACTAAGGAACAAGTTATAAGGAGTTATGCTCCAATGTGGTGGAGGCTACTATGTAATTCCGAGTTTGACAAAGTCTGGTCAATAGATTGACATATAAGTATGTAATGAGTAGCATATGGTTCACTGGATACACAATGTTAAAGGTACCAAGAGATATAAGAAAGATGAGAAAGAAGTTCTCAAGAACAGCTTTGTTCCTAAGCTGTTTATGGACTGAAATAAGGCAACTGCAGATTGATA